TATACATACAGGGAGATACAAGTTAGTGTTTATGTTACAGAAGAAAAAAAAACTTAAAACTAAAGATAGTAGATTTAATAATTAAATTAATTTATGAACATTATGCATTGAAAATATTTTTATTACAATTCTTTTTTTAATTAAGCAATTATTACTAAGTAGATTTATATAGCATTTAAGTAGAGAAGAATACAAAATTACACAAACATTTTACTATTCATGAAAATAAATATTAAAAAAAAACACGCGTGGCACTCGGAGACTGCCGCGGTAAAGCTATTGCATAGCATTTTTTATCAACTTATGCAATTATAATTAGTCAATAATAATTGAATATTAAAACAATAATAAAATAAGATCACGCTATATTTATAAACATTAACAAAAGCAAAACATTAACTGTCCCCTTCACACTCATAAGTTAGACCGCGTGAGAGAGAGATGGGCAGACTTTTCATGATGCAGTGCGACGTCGCGCCGCGCTCTTATTCACAAACACTACACAAGCACAACGTGCGAATGTGTTGAATGCGAGCTACATGGTAGGCGGAGTGGGGGGGTGTTAGGTTTTATTTTCGTTACGGAATTTTTTGATTCGGTCGCCGCGCTCAAAACCCGCGATAAAAGCTATGCAATAGCTTAAAAAATAATTACGTATTTTGACACATAATGTTCATATTATGCAAAAAGATTAAGTGAGAAGTGAATCATAGAAATAAGTTCAATCTTAAAATTAAAGATGTAAGAAACAATTTTCTACAAAACAAAACTCTCATCGTTTTTAAGACTTTTGTATTTAATCGAAGAATTACATTGGAATACAATGGTATTCGTCGAGAATGGTATTTAATTCGACAGTTCTTTTGAAAGGCGCTGAACACAGAAAATATTACATCTTTGGCTCTAAGCGAAATTTACAAAAAGCAAATATTTCCACACGATATAATCTTATTTAAAAAAAATATCTAAGAAATATCTTTTTATTTATTAAGTTTAAACTCGATACGATTTTCATTATACAGAATATAAATCCTCATTAAACTAGGGAACGTCTTAAATAAAGACAATTGAAAAGAAAGAACTCTTCGAATTATTCTTTTACAACATGGTTACTTTTTGTATGGACACATTTAGGTATCGACCAAACGATGACAACCCTATTATTATTATATCGAGGCGTGAAAGGCTAATTGGTTTAAGCGACATTTTTGTAACTTTACAGGCGATATAAAGTTTCAAATTTGGAAAATATATCAAGACAAAAAAGCTTCTTCGGCTATTCGAATGGGGTAAACATAATTAAACTTCAATTAAAAACATCGAATTGTTGATACTAATACCAAATAAAAAGAACCTTTAATAACAAAGATAAATGTAGATTATTAAGCGAAATGTCGCTTTAACCAAATAGCTTTTCATTTCAATTTCAATGAATCACACATTCGAAAAATCATTCACAAAAGTAAATACTTTCACTATTCTATACAGGAATAAACTTTAATAATGGAAATAAGCATTTAAAGAGATTCTGACGTGTTTCCAGATGCCGTATACCTCAGCCATACAAATACAATGATTCAATTTCAATTTAAATATATCTAGCTATTATTTTAAGTCTCGCTATAAGACTCAAAGAACCGCATTAGAAAGTTTTTTTTTTCCTCTAAACTTAGCAATAAAGTTCAAATTCGAACGAACAAAAAACACATTTATCAATTCCATTAATTTCGTCGCGCATGACAAATTTGGCGATAGTTTTTCTGAACTACCGCGTTTATCAGAACACTTCATGGGAAAACCCACACACGCACACATTTAATCCTGAAAATCCCAATGAATTTTACGTCATTATGATGGGGAGATTCTCACTAAATCTGCAAAAGCGAATTGGCTCTTTGTCACTGAATTAATTGATGCTCGTCGATGGCTCGATTGACGCGATAATAGGGAATATGCACGTGAATCCAAAATGGAAAAAAAAAACATTTTTATTTGTAATTTTGGTTGCTAAAAAAACATACCTATACAATTATTTTTGAGATTTATCATAATTTAATAGTGAAATTTAATCATAAAAAATTGGCTTTTTTCAAATTCCCTCGCAATTTTCTAAAACGCAACGCTATTGGTGGAACAAAATGTGACGTCAAACTACACTGTCAACAGGGTCAACAAGTTGTTTGTATGGCTTCTAGTGATTATGTGTATCATTTGTTTCATGTTAAGTTAATAAATAATAAGTTCTCAGTGTTAAATTATTACATTCTTGTGTAGAAAGACTCAACAGAATAACTAAAAAACCGGTTTTAATGTAATCTGACGTCACAGAAAAAGCGTGTCAAAATGGCCGTGTTTAAATCGCCCCATAATGATAATGATTTTAATTTTTAAAAATTGCCTAATGATTTATATTACGGATGTATTATAATTATTTTTGGTAAAGTAATAACTAGTAGAATCGTTTAAAAAAATAAAAAAAAATACATGCATATTCCCATTCGATTACGTTTGTGGAGTCCGCAGTATCAATCGCATTAAGGCGAGGAAAACTACTCGAATGAAAAAGTTATGACTTTGAAAATTGGAAGAGATATCCCTAGAAGATTCTAGAGTTGAGAGTTGGTTGAATTTTAAAATGAACTGTGATCTATTCCAGTATTCGTTCACATCTTTTAACTAGGCAATGTATGCGTAACACAGAGGCAATAGAACCAGCTTTACAATCACGCTTCTCCTGTAAATATTTATTTACATGACAAACGTGGATTGATTTTATTAATTTGACAAAACCTGTCATAAAATACTGTAATAATAAACTTAAGCTTTTGCTTTATCGCCAATCAAACAAAAACTGTTATAAAGGATACGTCAATATATTTTATAATAATAGTAAAAATGACACGAAAAAGAAATAAGTTCAGATTTAAAAAAATGAACAGTTTTAGATTAGAGAAATTTATGACGTCACTACTATATGTTATACGTATTTTAATATTATTCAACAAACGCGGCTATTAACTAACTGTTATCAAACAGTAGATATAACAAGTCTAAGTAACGCGTACAAAGTCAACAGTTTCCTAGTTAAAGTTACTTAAATGATGTTATGATCGATCTTGCAACAGAAAATATCGTACTGAATTAACTCCTATAAATATTGAAGTCTTGAAAAATGGTAAACTGAATCTAACCAAGGACGATAATTTTCGAAACCGCAGCTTAAAATTGAGTATTCCTTAAGGCTTTTAAAGTCCTTCGTCTGTTAAATACAAAGGAGTATTATTAATAGTATTACGAAATTCATTTCATAATTTTAAAATACTCATATTGTTTTCTGTTTTTTTTTTCTTTTTCTTTTATTGGTTCGCATTATTTAATGTAATTTAGATAATTTAGCTGTGTATTTTATAGTCACATTAAATATGTATACTAATATTGTATTATTTTTATTTATGTTCTACTGTAACTTCTATTGGTAAGTCTTAAAGGAATCAATAGATAAATTATCATAGTAGACAGTTGCTTACTTTTGGTTTAATATTTCGCTTTCACTAAAGCTTTTTTGACGCACGTGACGACTATGACGAGCCATTTTAACTTAAAATTCACTTCGGTACGAATGTAGGCAAACCGATCTTATGACGTCAAAAGATAGTATTGTTCGGCGAATGAAAATATAAAAATCCTACATTAAGTGTAAATGTTCATGTCAAGGAACAAATCTCGATATTTTTTTTGATACTAATAGTTTTTTCACGATAGTGGTGTTGTAAGTATGTACTAATATAAGACTGTTTCACAAGATCGATCATATTCTTAGAAGTACATATCACTACCGGGTACACTTCAAAAGAAAATAGAACGTAAGTTGAAAGTCGAAAAGTCAAAAGCAGCCTTTTTGTACAGTCGTGTGAAGAAAATCGTACATAATTTTGGAAGAATTCGTTTACAACAAACAGGGATGGGAGATTAGATAGAATTCAGTTATCGAGATAATCTTAATCGATAACTTGAGTGATTCCGTTTTAAAGATCCATCGATTATCGATGAAAATTATCGAGACAACTCGAGAAACATATTAAGTACAATTTTTTTAAGAACTCTAAGTTATTCAACTTTTCATCAAAATCTAAATCTATTAAAAATCTTCAACAATTATGAATAAATTCGTTTTTTTTTTTCATGTTTTTATATCGATATAAATTTATAATTTAACAAGTGTAATCTATGTATTGCTTTAGATGTATCCTGTGCTCGAGTTACTATTGCATTATTTTTTTCTAATCCAAACGTATGTACAATTATTCTAAAGAAATGAATCGACTCTACTAAACATTATAATTATAAATCTGAATAAATAAGAAACCGAACAGATTAAACCTTAAAAGTGTACTAAATCATGAGCAAGACTCACGAAAGCTCACCAAAATATTAAATTAGTTTGTGGTAACGTACGTTTCAGCTATTTCTTCACTTCGACTCTGCTTGGTATTATTTAAATACACAACGACGGCACTATTACGTCTATCTAGTTAATAAGATAAATTATCAATAATTCTTCAAGTTAATAATTAGTAAGTATTGCCAGCTTCCAAAACGAAGAAAGTGTTCATTAATAATGATTCATGTTAGGTATATTTTTGTTGTAATGGATTGTCAAGGCTGTTGACATGTCAATGCAAATAGCTAAGATCACAAATGAGATAGATGTCTCAATTGTATTGTGGAGGCTCGCAGTGCGCGGTGTCAGTAAACTTCACTTTCGAATTATTGACAATTTATTTCTAACTGACACATGTCAAAACACTATCATCAGTAAACGTGGACCCATATTTCGATTTATTTACGACTCAACGTAAACGCTTCGAGCCTCAAATTCCGAACTCTTGTATCGACTTTTTTTTATCGATATCTAGATCATAGTCTAATGCGAACATCTCAAATCGATATAGTATCGATTTTGGATTGCGATAATCGAAATCTTCAAAAATTTAACCTCGCTACAAATACAGTTATCTTTTTTTAATTTCTACAGAAAGAGATGTTGGCACCTTATAGCGCATGAAATAATCATTCATCAAATTCTTTTCTGTATTAATCTTGCCTTAAAACCGATTGCTTTTATAGTAAGCTAATGAATTTTAGCAATATTTACAAACCGGTTTTCGACATAGAAAATCGACTTAATCGATAAATGTTTCTTGACGTTGACTTTATCGACAACCATTATATTTTATCGAATTTTAATAATGCAAGCAATTCTTTTTGAATTAAATGTTTCCATATTAAGAACCGACACAGCATTTAACGATACATTGCCTATTTTTCAAAACAAAACCAGCAATGTAGTTCCGAAAATAAAAAAATAAAAACACAAGATGGCACTAAACGTATCGAGGTATTCGACGTTTGTAGCCGACCACGAGAATCGCGAAATATTATCGAGCGCGTGCTATTAAACATGCATAATCATGAAAAAATCATAATAAAATCTGTCTCTGAACTGTAAACCTAAAAAAATGCAATATTTCCAAATTATTACGAGAGGAAATTCGCAGAAGATTGCTCCGAATCGAATGGATTCGTTCGTTACTGTAATTATTATGTTTTCGTTGCACTTCAAACTTCGGTGCTCTTCCCGACCTGCCCGTGCTTCGCGTCCGGGATCCCGGAGGCGCTGAGCTTACGAATACGTCCCGGGAATATGCCGCCGAACAAACGACCTGGAAGGGAATAAACGAATTTGTAGCAAGCACGGAAGATACAGGACGATCGAATGTGCTACTTTGACAAAAATACATAATGTAAACTGAAAAAATATTCATTTACTATGCTAATAAGAAATTTAGAAGCATTGAGTCTTATATATGTCGCAGAATGGGCAGATATCTTCATAATTTTTGTGACATTGGGAGCGGACGGTGGTTAATCGTACAAAGAGCTTAGGCAGCACAAAACGACGACAGTTCCGAGACGTCTCCACTCTTCCTAAGTCAGGCATATAGATAATACACATAAATTAGTTATAGATAAGCAACTCGAGCACTCAACAAAAAAGTTTACGGGCGTCGGCCAATAGATGGCTTCGCTTCGATTAGTTTCTCATTGCTCCTGTAGATGGCAGTAACATATTACCTGTCCTACATTTTATTTTTAATAAAGGATTTTGTAAATTTTCAGAAACCACAAATTGATAAAATTCAGTCAATTTGTCTATAGCAAATAAAGACTTGTATGATTTATTGATTATTTATTTGCTATGTTTAGTTACACAATAATTAAATGCCTTATTTTTAACAACATATAAGTTTAGGGGCATCCGCTACAAGACGTCGCTAGTTTCTATACAAAAAAATATTTGTCTTAAAGTATCGCAGTTTCAAGGCCCTGGTCAGGCAAAGAATGCGTCTCGATTTCACTCGAGCGATGACATCTCGACTCTGCCGAAGCACGCCACCCGAAGTGAGCAGACGTTCGTTTAGTAGTTGCGGCTTCCACCCACTAGATGGCGCGCTTTCGTTTCGGTTGCCGTATCCGGATGCGACATATAGATGATATCAATATTTTAATTACGATTTCATCTTGCGCGTTCTCAAGACCAAACGACTTCACTGTTCATCATTGGTGACGACACTTTACGGAAGGAATTGAAGGTATTATAGCACCAAGCGCATACGTCAGATGAGGCGCGATTACTGGTGGTAGGACCTCTTGTGAGTCCGCACGGGTAGGTACCACCACCCCGCCTATTTCTGCTGTGAAGCAGTACCTAATGAGTTTCGGTTTGAAGGGTGGGGCAGCCTTTGTAACTATACTGAGACCTTAAAACTTATATCTCAATGTGAGTGGCGCATCTACGTTGTAGATGTCTATGGGCTCCAGTAACCACTTAATACCAGGTGGGCTGTGAGCTCATCCACACATCTAAGCAATAAAACAAAAAAAAACTTTCAACAAATTAAAGTATTTCAAAATGACGCAAACCAAACTGACAGATATCCAAATGTGCCGGTCGTACAACTGTAAGCTAAATCTAATTACTTCATCGACAGTCTCTGCGATAATCGTAACTCATGGACATTGGCAATACCAAAGACATTAAATTTAGAATAACGCTTCTAAGAATTATTCCTTACCCGGCGACCGTTGTTCCGTGGGATGTCTCGGTGAAGTGGCGTGTAATGCGTTCCTGCTTCCCTGCTGGAAGGAGACGGACATGCCGCTGTCCAGGGACCCCACCGACCCGCGCCGCTGGAGTCGCTCCGCTGCAAGAGCCACTGCAATTAAGCAAACTAATACATTGGAATATGGGGCGGGATTTCAATTCTATTTACTATGCAAACTTACCTACCATTCCAGTAAATTGCCTTTTTTTTAAATTGCCTTTGTAGGCAGATGAACATACGGCCCACCTGATGGTGAGTGGTTACCGTCACTCATGGCCGTCAGCAAAGCCGAGGGCAGAAAAAAGCCGCTATCTACCGTTCACGTAAGAGAAACGTACTGTCTCTGTTATTAACAAAGTTTCCTCTGAGAAGACTTTATAGAACTAAATACTAATATGAATTTACTGATAATTTGAGTGCACTTATTATGTGTGTTGGTGGATGACGAAAAATAGACTAAGGAAATCACCGGTGCATGACATGGTTTTTTTTTAAATTGCTTACATGATTGGACGAGCTCACAGCCCACCTGGTGTTAGGTGGTTTCTGGAGCGCATAAACATCTACAACGTAAACGCGCCACCCACCTTGAGATATGAGTTCTAAGGTCTCAGTATAGTTACAACGGCTGCCCCGCCCTTCATTAGGAAAATTGGTACCCGCCAGCGTCATTCGAAGGCCGGTGCATCGCTAGATCGCTAAAACGCACCGGACGTCTTATCCTTTAGGCCACGACGACTTCAAAATTTTGACTTCGACTTCGATTCGATTCGATTTCGACTTCATATTTCAATTTGAGGCGGCATTCACGTTCTGATGTCTCAAATAACAGTCTGATTGTTCTGATATGAGGTGGAAGTTCAAAGGACATATGGGTCTATATACTTACCCGGGTCATTGATATCGACTAGAGAGTTGCTGAGCACGTTCCGTTTGATGATGCTGGTGGGCGGTGGGTTCGAGGAGAGCCTGGAGGGGGCCGCTGGTGCCGGACACGAGGGCGGAGGAGGAACCACCACGCTGGAAACAACCAAAGACAATGCACATCACTTCCTAGTCTGTATACTAGATGGCGCTGATCATGATATTATACGAGTAAATTATGAATGAATCTGGCATATTTTGAAATAATTTTGAATTATTTGAAATATTACAAATAATAAGATGTATCCAGCTTTAAAACTCCTTCTTCTATAAGATTCTAAACTCGACTTGTGCTATGCAAATTAGGGAATAAATAATAGTTTAAAAAAAACTAACAAGATACGCTTTTATAGAAAATTCAACTAAAAAAAAGAAAATTAGTTTTAATAAATTTGAATTAAAAATAGTGTAAGAAAAAATTATTTTATGTAGTTATAAATATTTTATGAACAGATATGAGCGGAAGGGTTATTTTGATAATATCCTGAAAAAGACCCCACAATAAATATCTCCACAATAAACTGCGCATTAGTCACGTAATATATGAAACTAATTATTTAAACAAAAAGGGCATACCTAAGAGAAAACGAAAAATTATTTAACGAAACTAAACATAGCGACTCTATTCGTTTCTTGTTATTAGACATACCCGTAGCTCTGCCACTAAAAGCAGGCCTAAGAACCCGGTAACCGTGCAACCTAACCCACGCATCAGCCCGCTGAACTTCTCGCCGGATCTTCTCAGCGGGTCGCGATACCAATCCGATAGTAGATCCATTCGCGAAGCAGCTACTCTGGAGTTGTTAAATCTCCTTCAAAGGCGCTCGGGCAGCTGTTAGCAAATCCCACCCCTTCTGGCTGAGTCTTTGCTCGCCTACCTGTCCTAGTGTAACTGGAAAGGCTTCGGGTCTCCAGTAATCCTTCAGTCCTAAGAAAACAAAAAAAACATACCCGTGCATGTGGACGTGGTCGACGCACTGCTGGTGATCTATTTCAACATCAGCCACGCCGCTGTCTCGGTTCTCCATCACTGTTACGAACATAAATACAAACAAACTGTTAGCATAACGAACTTATTGGCGGGAACTCGAGAAGCGTAGTTGTGTGAATTGTTTTATTTTATTGAAGTAAAACTTCTTTACGCACCCTTGACTTGGGGAGTAAGCTGATGAATGCGTGACGAGAGCGTTACGAAAAGTGTGATCGGGCGAGGCGATCAGAAGTTGAGACGAAGATATAAGTTAGTGAAGAGAAAGAGTGAGAGATACGTTTCATATATTACTTACTATAGGGACAAGAGGGAGGTGCGAGCACACATTTTCTTTCTCTCTTTTTCTCATAGCCAGTTATGTTTCGTATATCTGAGACACAGTTGACCTATTGACTATATTACACTGTAGGTGCAAGAGTGCGCGCGCACATTTTATTTCTCATTAAAATATCCTAATTCATCAATGAAAACCCACAATAGCCCATAATGTAGTATACATGCATATGTTATACACATATAAACATATGCATACATATAGATGGAGCTAAAGAAAATTTTAGTACAGTCCTAAAACACACTTTTTTTATTTGGAGTTGCTTTACCAGCACTCTGCCTATTTCTGCCGTGAAGCAGTAATGCGTTTCGGTTTAAAGGGTGGGGCGGGCAGCCATTGTGTTATAAAACTGAAATTTAGAATTCATGTCTCCAGGTGACTGAATTTACATTGTTGATGCCTATGGGCTCCGTTAACTACTTAGTTACCATTGGCAATATAACTTGACGTTTACGTCTCAGTTGGTTAGTGACTACGTATGCTACAATTTTCGCGGGTTTAATTTTGATTACAAAATGCTATTCTTTCATCGTTCAAGTAATTCGTGAAGATTTCCTAAGAACAATTGGTAAATTGATACTCGAAAATTGGGGCTCGTTCACCGATCTAAACAATAAGAAAAAAAAACCTGCCTGCGGGATTCGAACATCGGCCCAGTCACATCCCTCGATACTAGTACACCGGGCGTCTTAAACTTTAGACGACTTCAACTATGTATCATCATTCTCCTGCCCTTCTCCCAGACACCTGGGGTCGGCGCAACATGTTTTCTCTTTCCATACTCCTCTATCATATACCATTTCTTCGCTCACTCCCCCCTTACACATATTCACGCAATCCATCCTTTTTTTCTTAGGTTAGGACTTCAGGTTTTTTATATTTATTGCTTAGATGGGTGGACGAGCTCACAGCCCACCTGGTGTTAAGTGGTTACTGGAGCCCAGAGACATCTACAACGTAAATGCGCCACCCACCTTGAGATATAAGCTCTAAGGTCTCAAGTATAGTTACAACGGCTGCCCCACCCTTCAAACCGAAACGCATTACTGCTTCACGGCAGAAATAGACAGGACGGTGGTACCTACCCGCGCGGACTCACAAGAGGTCCTACCACCAGTGAATAGGCAAGGCGGTGGTATCTAGAAGTACCTAATACCTAGAGTAAATATCTTAGAACAGCTCTCTTACCGTTCCTAGCGTTGTTTCCGGTGTTCCTTCCCTTCCCCCTGTTGAGTTCGCCCTCGATCCTCATCGCCTCCATCTCGTCCATCTCGGCGATGCTCTCGCGAAGGTCCTCCGCGAACTTGCAGCGGTCGTGCTCGTTGCGAGCGTTGAACGTAGACAAGCGACGATTGTCCACTCGACGAGACAAACGTATGCCGAACGGATAATCTGAAAGTTGATAAACGTTAGACAAATCGATATATAAATAAATAAAATGGTTATTTGTTTATTGCGATCACAATGTGAATGAGCACCCACCCCCCTCCCCCTTGAGGCACGAGGTCCATGTCCCAAATGTATATGACGGAGAAAAGCTGACGTAATTCTCTTTATCATTATCATTGCCTTCCATAGTGACAGTAATTAAGACTCAGTTTTCCAATGAATTCCATTTATTGCATCTCGAGTGTACAACGCTAAAAACAGAGAGCTCCGCCTTGGTCGGCTGTTCGAGTCGTAATATTTTGTGCGACAATAGTCACCCGTATTAATAGTAGAAAGTGGGAGTAGCTTAGTCATTAATTCGTTTGACCGTCTTAAACAGCTGTTGACATGCGTAACATTAATTACTCGTATAAAACTCTTTAACAAGATGAACGGAAACCATAATTGGTGTTTGACTTTATTTATACGTACATTAAGGTAGGTAGTTATAAATGTTTTTAAGCTATTGCATAGATTTTATCGCGGGCTTTGAGCGCGGCGACTGAATCAAGAAATTCCGTGAAGAAAATAACCTGACACCCCCACTACGCCTACTATGTAGCTCACGTTCAACACATTCACACGTTGCGCTTGTGTAGTGTTTGTGAATAAGCGCGTGGCGTGACGTCACACTGCATGCGCATCATGAAAAATCTGCCCATCTCTTTCTCGCGCGGTCTACCATATGAGTGTGAAGGGGACAGTTAATGTTTTGCTTTTAGTAATGTTTAATATAGCGTGGTCTTGTTTTATTATTGTTTAAATGTTAAATTATCATTGTCTAATTATAATTTCATAAGTTGATAAAAAATGCTATGCAATAGCTTTACCGCGACAGTTCCCGAGTGCCACACGTTTTTTTTTTTTCATCAATCATACAAAAAAAACTGTATCGAAGAGAGAAGGATTCGACGTGGTGTTTATTATGGTGGGAATTTTAGTGTTGTTATTAGTTTTGGCGTGAGGTAGGTGGTGATCTAACTCACGAGGCACGGAGAACAGGCTGACCACCATGCCGCACAGCGGGAACGACTGCCGGAAGGTGTACGTCACCGACGACTTCTTCTTGCTGAAGATTTTCGTGATCACGAGTAGATCGTTGAAAAGGAACACCTGGTACAAAAATAAGCATATATATCAGGCTGACCCGGCAGACTTCGCAGTGCCTCAATCGATACATAAAATATCTAAATTTTTGTATAAAATAAACTGAAAACAAACAAAAGGAATCCTTCCGATGGGGGAGTCATCAAAGGAAAAACAAAATTGTTATTTTTATTTAATTCCGAGCATTTTCATATTTATCTACCTTTTAAACCTTCTCTGGATTTCCACAAATAATTCAAGACCAAAATTAGCCAAATCGGTCCAGCCGTTCTCGAGTTTGAGCAAGACTAACGAACAGCAATCCATTTTTATATATATAGATATATAGATATAGATTGAGTGTGGCGGTAGCCATCGTAGAACACAAGATATTTGATAAATGCCTGAATCTCGCTTGCGACATTTTCAAAATAAGCTTGAATGTATATAAGTTCCAAACAACAACATTTAACTCGGTGAATCTATAATAACCCGTCGCGGTTACTAGAATAGGCAGGAAAAACAACCACAACAACATTTGGAACGTCGGTCTACCGAGCAATATCACCTGCTCGGTGAAAGATCCCTTCCTCAAGTGGACAAGTGGGCGAGCATAGGCTCAGCCAAAGGTGTGGGATTCGCTAACAGCTGCCCGAGCGCCTCCAAAGGAGACCTAACAGCTCAAGAGCAGCTGCCTCGCGAAATGAACTGTGGAGTGTGAGACTGCGACTCTTACTTCTCTCTGATGGACTCCGGGTCGCTCCTTCTTGTGTATGTCAGGTATCTCGTACAACCTGCAGTAGCAGACGAGGCGGCGGTGCGGCAGAGCGAGGTGGGGCTTCTTCCCGACTATCGTCGCTTGCACTTTCATCACCTAAAATTTTGAGGGTAGTTTTGAATTTGCTGTATGAACAATATTAGGACTTTTTGGCGGGAACCCGAGAAGTGAAGTTGTGTGATTTGTTTTATTTTGTCTATTTAATGTTTCTTCAGGTTTAAATGTGTAATCACGGTGGTTTATTAACTGTGTAATATCTGTGAAGTGCACAAATGTGGGAAAGTTAAACAAAGCCGCTGGACGTAGCTTCCCGGATCCTCCAAAAAGTCCACTGAAAAAGTCTTAGTAGTAAATAACCACCATTTTACTGAAATTATATTTCATCCCATATCATCTCATTTCATTTCGTCTCAGTTGATTAATGTCTCAAATTAATCATCTTCATTTCATTTCACTCCATATTATCATTTTTCATAAAAATATAAATTAGAATAAACTTGACCTAAAAAGTCTTAGTTACCAGGTCATAAAATATAATAAAATAATAAAAAAATTAACAACATTATCCCCTGAGACATCAGTGATTGAAACATTTGAAGCTAATTTAAATGAAAATAATAGAAGTACCTAACTGATACAGATGCAGTGATGACAATTGTGATGAGATCGTAAATTTTGAATTTTAGTTCCAAATCAAACGCATAGATGGTGCTGTACTAAAATAATTTGATAAGAAAATTCTTTACCAAAAAACTGAAATCATTATTGACTGTAAGTACTAGCCTGCGTGACGTGGTCGCTGCCGGGTCTAAACTCGTTCGCCTTGACTCTGTCGTAGATCCCGGCGAGCATGTCCCTGTCGATGTCGCCGCAGTCGTCGATGCCGCGAAGGTTCTTCACGAAGTCTTCCAAGGACATGCGAGCTTCCGGCTTCAGGTTCGGAGTGTGCAAATCCGTGTTCAGCATTATTATGGCGAAGGCCAACACGAATATCTGCAGGTGACCAAAGTTTGATTAACACTAAACATTCTCCTGATTCATTTAGGGACATGATAATTACTCAAATGTGTATGTAGTAACTAAGCGAAAATAGATCCATTAAGGTAACAATGATTAAGAGATTATTTTTAAATATGATTTCTTTAATAATCTATACTAATATATAAATCTACAGTGGTTTTTACGGATGTTACGTTATAACTACTGAGCCATGCAGCCGATTGACTTGAAACTTGGTATCCATGTAGAAAATACATATACCTTATGGATAGGCTAATATTTATATAAGTGTTGGACTTCCTAATAATAATGACAAAAAATAATAATGTTAATTTTAAATGCCCAGCGAAGCGGGCGAGTACGGCTAATAATAGTATAATTACAGAAACCAGACAAATCAGTATAAGATTACTCCGAACACATCAGCCCACTGGTAATTATGGAACGTGGAAGTGTGAATAAGTGCAACAAAATTTTTGTAATATAAGACAAAGAAAAAATATTGCTTACAGGAGTGGATTTATTTGTAAACAATTCTCTACTCAAAGCTGAACTAGATGGCGCCACCTGAGGCTACATCAATAAAGTAAGATCAATGGACGTACCGTGTCCTGAGTCCGCAACCTTTGAACGAAATCTGTGTTGCAGATGCAGTATCTTCTGGCGAACGCTTCGACCAGACGCTCGATCTTCTGCGCCTCGCCCGGCAACCGGAAGTGAGCCTGGTACCGGCGCAGAGCAACGTCTACCGCCATACCCGACAAGTCTAGCTCGTTTACGAAGCATCTGTTACAAAAAAATTACATAGTAAATACTAATGGAAGCAATGAGTGGATGAAAGGGCCAAGTCGTCGTGGCCTAAAGGATAAGCATTCCGGCCCATTCATGTTGAGAGATGCACCGGTGTTCGAATCCCGCAGGCGGGTACCAATTTTTCTAATGAAATACGTACTCAAAAAACGTTCACGATTGACTTTCACGGTGAAGGAATAACATCGTGTAATTAAAATCAAACCCGCAAAATTATAATTTGCGTAATTACTGGTGGTAGGCGCGGGTAGGTACCACCACCCTGCCTACTTCTGCCGTGAAGCAGTAATGCGTTTCGGTTTGAAGGGTGGGGCAGCCGTTGTAACTATACTGAGACTAAGCAATAAAAAAAAGATCAAATTCAATGTTTCAGATAAATAAAGTTCAATTTAACATACAAATAAACAATCGATATACGACTTCTTCAAATCAAGTCGATCAAGAATAAAGTCATATAGTTGTATTAAAATTGAAGACTCACTCCAGAACTGCCATATTGAATGGATTCTGCAGGTTCCCAAGGTATTCTCCGATCATCTGCTTGCTCAGGCCCTTCCTGGTAATGAGGAACCTCGCCACGCCCCGCGGCGAGTTCTCGAGGAAGCCGCGGGAGATCAGATAAGCGATGCCGCGCTCTGGTTTCTTGTTGAACAAGTTAAGGCCGACGCGGTACTGACGTTTTCGGACAGTTTCTGACACCTGGATAAAGAGAACGTATTTCTATAAATACATAAATTTAAAAATATATCTCGAAAATGAAGAATTTTATGAAGTCGTCGTGGCCTAACGGATAAGACGTTCGGTGCATTCGTGTTGAGCGATGCACTGGTGGTTCGAATCTCAGGCGGGTACCAATTTGTACAAATGAAATACGTACTAAACAAATGTTCACGATTGACTTCCACCGTGAAGGAATAACATCGTGTAATAAAAATCAAACCCGCAAAATTATAATTTGCGTAATTACTAGTCGTAGGACCTCTAGGGAGTCCGCGCGGGTAGGTACCACCGCCCTGCCTATTTCTGCCGTGAAGCAGTAATGCGTTTCGCCTTGAAGGGTGGGGCAACCGTTGTTACTATACTTGAGACCTTAGAACTTATATCTCAAGTTGGGTGGCGCATTTACTTTGTAGATGTCTATGGGCTCCGGTAACCACTTAACTAATGCTTACATAGCAATAAAAAAAAAAAACTCAATAAAAAAACATATTGTTTTTTTTACACGTATATGACTGACTAGCCTTTAATGGTTGCTGATGCTGGTGGTGCTCATGTTGTGGCCTGCAGCAGGGCGCAGCCATCGGGGGCGGGGGGGCTTCGTAGTAAGGAGCGGCCTCCTGTCTCTTCCAAACGGAGTACCGATCTCCTTCCAGCACGACGCCGGGACGCGCGTTGAGGTACTCTGGGACGTGCACGTGCGTCTCCTATACACGTGCCAAATATTTTTAATTNGGGGGACACATCAAAGGAAAAACAACATTGATATTTTTATTTAATTCCGAGCATTTTCATATTTATTTACCTTTTAAACCTTCTCTGGACTTCCACAAATAATTCAAGACCAAAATTAGCCGAATCGGTCCTGTTCTCGAGTTTTAGCGAGACTAACGAACAGCAATTCATTTAAATATATAAGTATAAGTAGATTTGTAATTTTGTTTTCAATAGCCAAAGCTATGTACCTACATTAATACGGGTTTACTGAATGCATATACCATTTAGATTGCAATCCAGATTAGATCTAGGTACTAAATTAAAGGTGCGTTTTATTTAGTACTAGCGACCCGCTTCGCTTCGCTTCGGAAATGTTTAATTTTATTATTGATAGCTGCGTATCGCGATGTTATCCGCGGTTATTGTCGTATCGGGAGTGACGCAGCGAGGCGAAGCTAGTCTAAAAAAATCCTAAGTTACTCCTTATATCACCAGCTACCTATCAGTGAAAGTCTCCTCAACATCGGTCCATTCGGTTCAGAGATTAGCCGGAACAAACAAACAGACAGACAGACAGCCAGACAAAAATTGTAAAAAATATTATTTTGATGTATGTACCGTATATATATTCATATGCGGTTATTTCGATATTACAAACAGACACTCCAATTTTATTTATATGTATAGATTTACCATTTTCTTTAATTACTTATCTTATTATACAGTCTTTATATGCACCAACAAAAAGTCACGATGTAAGGTACTGTTGTGTTACTACAAATTGAACAGAAGTAGTAAGTAATCCATCTACTAACTGGCTGCCTGGGCTGGTAGGGCTGGTGGTAGTGATGGCGATGCTCCTGCGATGATGATGAAGACGAGGACTGCACGGAAGACATCGATCCTCCCCTGACGACCGCTCCGCATTCCGCACGTCTAAGCGACACCGGACTCTCGGCGCTGGAAGCAAATGTATTACCATCAATTCCCATTCACCGACACATCTGATGCTAAGCGTCTTTTTTTTTTCCTACCTAAGCTGGTAGCCTAGAGAGGCTATTCCAGCGGAACCTTAACTAGTAGGTGAGCTCACGGGGCTCAAACCTGACGACGTTGCTAACACGAACCCTAGCAAGAGCCGTGCTTCGCAGAATCTACCACCGGATCGGAAACGCGACCCACTGAGAAGATCCGGCGAGAAACTCAGTGGGCTGTGTCTGAGAGTTAATTTACTCGTCGAGCCCTTCGTCCCAAGCGACGGGTTCGACGAGAAAGGTGACCGGTGCTTGAAGTACCTAGAAGCACCGTTAGTGGATCGGGAGGATCCGAGATGACGTGATCTAAGCGTCGAGCATCTGATAAGAGCCTATAGATTCTTCCTTTTCTCAGTCGTACACTCCTGGCGGAGTGGCCGTGGTTACGTATGTCTTATTGCTGGGTTGCGGCTTTTGAGTGACTCCTCCATCTCTCTCTATTTGTGGCGGTACGTGTACATTCATAGATAGTGTAATGTTATACCGATTTTTCCACTCTTTAAGCCAATTACTTTTTTATTTTCTTAATGAGTGACATGCGCACGGAGGAGTTTCGAGTTCTTTGGACATAGCGCCAGAAAGAGAGGTGACAATCTGGAGAAGCTGCTGGTGATAGGCAAGGTATGCGGGAGAAGGCACAGAGGCAGACATCCAATGCGCTGGTCGGACCAAATACGCTCCACTCTCAATACCTCAGTCCAAGTTGCTATCCACACAGCCGAGGACAGGCAGGAATGGCGCAAGATGATGCAGGAGAAAGTGATTAGAGGAGGCCACGACCCTCAGCACTGAGGATTATCGACGCAAGGAGGAGAATGAGTGACAAGCTCTCAGCCCGCCTGGTGCTAAGTATTGTATAGCGTGGTGTAAATATACAGGATAGTGGTGTCTACCCTCCCGTGCGGGCATATAAAACATAACGCATACTTCAGTAAATAAATACCACAGTCGAATTTTACGATAAACACGAAATGAGATGGATCAGTGCTCTCTTGGACAACAAAATCAAATCACAAATCAAATCTGAAATTAATATAGCAAATGGCTTTCAATTATAGCAGCGACTTTAATAAATTTTTTCTTCATCGTCCACATCGTCCACGAAACATATTCGTTTAAGTACGTCTTTATCAAACCAATCGTCCCACTTCCCGAGTTCAGATCCCGGCGTAGGGACGTAACTCAAGATATTTTAAACTGTCTGACCGTATTTGCTGATAAAAGGCTTGAGTTAAATAAAACTGCAATTAAATGGAAAAAAACAATTGAAAACTTTATAATTACTTTAGAGTTATGCTGCTCGTTCTTTTGGGCACTTCTGGAGGCATTCTCCTGGCGTTCGCAGCTTGTATCGCAGCCAGTTGCTGTTGCTGCCGGGGGGTGGGAGACGACAGAGGTTTTCCACCCGACGACAGTAGATTTCCATAGATCGGACCTGGAATAGACATTGCTTGTCAGGTTATAGCGTACTTTTAGATTTTAGTATATACTGTTACGCCGGTAAGAGTAATCGCCGAATAGTCTAACGAATATCGAAGGATCTAGTAGCACCTAGAACGCTCGAGAAGTACAACGCCATCTACTGTCAGATAGCGGAAGCACAATACTAGAGATGTGTGGAACATTCTCGATAATTCTAGGGATGAAGTATCGGCTATAAAAGCATTGTAGAGATGGCACGCAGTTAGTCAGTAATCGGAACTACTCAAAGCGAAACAGCGAACGTAATGAACGTATTACCTGAAGCGAAGCGGAAGAAGCGAATTGAGAACTTTAAAGTGTTTGTGAATTGTTTTAAGTGTGTTCTAAATGTTGAATACAGTTTATAGTTGTACTTTGGTGGAATTTTATTTATCCCGAACCCCAGCGCGTAACAACACATATGCGTCCGATGGACCATCCACATAATATAATAACATATTCGTGTGATGCGTTTGGCGATAGTTACCGTCGCAGTTTCTCGGACGAACTTATGTAAAATTTACCTAGTGAAGATTTAATTTAGTTTCAGCTAGATTCAAGAAGATAGCTCATGAATGTGCTTCTAAAGATTTGATATCCTAATGTTAAGTGGATAAGGAAGCTTGTAGGCGTGAAGTAAAAGTATCTATTGTATTGTATAAAAACTGCCCAACCCTTCAAACTATTTCGGTCCGAACGGATAGGTGCCACCACCCTACCTATTTCTGCCGTGAAGCATCAATGCGTTCCGGTTTGAAAGGTGGGGCAGACGTTGTACTGTAAAACTGGGACTTGGAAGTCATGTCTCAAGCCGGGTGGCGGCATTTACGTTGTTAATGTCTATGAGTTCCGGTAACCACTTAAAATCGGGTGGGCTTTGACCTAGTTCCCCCATATAAGCAATGTTTTTATTATTGAACGACCGTCTGGTGTAGCGGTAAGTGACATAGTCACTACACAAGGGAGTCGCGGGTTCGAATCCCGCCAAGGGAAGATATTTGTATGATAAATATAAATGTCTTTTCCAGGGTTATGGATGTATATTAAAAATGTGTATGTGTATAATAAAAATCTTATATTTATTTCCGTTATCTGGTACCTGTAATACAAGTTCTTTACGAACTTATCACGGGACCAGTTAACGTGGCGTGACTGTTAGTAAATATTTATTTATTTTATTTTATTTATTATTTATTGGAACATACCAGTATTCATGACCTATTATTCCGCTCACATAAGCAATGTTTTTTTTTTTATTATTTATTCGAACATACCAGTATTCATCATCTGGTGATTGTGTAGAGATTCATTGTGCGATGATGAAGTCGATATATTTGTCACGGAACCGCTAACCGAACAACTGCAAACCTGAAATTCAAGAAATACACGTGATTACATATTAATTTAAAACACCGACTAAGTAAATTGTCTTGCTGATTAAATAATATTGAAAATATTATTTACATTACGTTTGAGTCATGATTTTTCTGGTTTGAGAATAATTAAAAGTCGATTTTTGTGTTCTCACTTAGGATATAGAGTATATTAATTCAACTCGTAAAAATACAGTGATGAGTTTTTTTTTATTGATTTGTTTGTTAACCAAGTACTAAATCGCAACAATGCTTAGTGACTGAAAGTTCCAATTCGGACAAATATTACTGTGACGGACAAGTTTATTTGCGCTTTGTCAGGGAGTTTAATGTATGCGTTCCCTGGATTACTACATTCTTTGCTTTAATGTGGGTTTTTTTTTTTTTTGGTCAGGAGGAAATCGCCGGACTTCCGCCCTCCACTGGGGATAAAGGGCGGAGCATGTCAGAGTCGAACTGACTAAAACCTCCTGTCGCTCAACAACCAACGTCCAAACCTCGCATGAGACAGAACTCATGAAGAGGCAAAGGGAGGAAAGTTTAATGTGGTAATGACAAATCACAGAAATTTAAATCAGTAATTTTTTTCGCAACTCGACGCGATGGCACGCGATCACTATCATTTTTCTGTTCGTGTGAAATCCGTACATCGTGAGTAACAAGTGTTCACGGATGCTTACGACCGGAATTTCACAGCTTTCGCAGCCGATCTCAGCACACAATAAAATGCAGTCGGTGTTATACGAACGCCATCGACCTCCTTGCGGAAGCCGTATACTATTTTTATCTAAGTAGGAAAGCTGACAGCTGATATTGGTGTTCCCTGTGACAATCCCGGAAGCTACCCTTCCGTCGTGATTATTCAAAAGAAAAAAAACCTACATTATATTTACGTAAATCATATTTTCCAGTACTGAAACTCCAAAGTCTTGTCATTTTCACTATCCGAAATACATCTTTGCTTTTCTTTGCCGATTTCATTAGCACTTTCGACTTTTTACGATTCACTTCGTAACACATTTTTTTTTGTTTCTTATTTTTCTAGAAATATCTAAGTGAGCACTAGGTTTAATGTCGCGCCGTATTCAATAGCCGATACCGTATTTAATTACACGGTTTCTGTAAGACGGTGCGCAGGCGACCACACGACGCGGCGCACGTCACCAACTGATAGAATATTGTTTGGGCTATCATGTCATTGTGTTTATTTAACTAATAATACACACACGCTTTGTGTAACAGCCGAACAAGGTTATTATATTCGCTAAGATGTAGTGCGTTGACATTTTTATCGCATAGTTATTATGTAGGAAGTGTCGCGAACGCTATACCTACTCGTGTTACGATGCTTTAGTTATAGAAATTTTCCGTTATTTTTAATTGCACAGTGATTAAATTAGATTAAATTAGATACCGGAATCACTAGGAAAAGTAAGAACACAGTTAGTAAAAGTATATATATGGTAAATATAGTAAATGCACAACAGAATTAGCTGAGTCATATTTTTTTGCCCAAATCAACAGAATCAGGGAAATATAAATATTTATACAGTAATTTGAAGGCTTTTCACAGAAAATAATAGTTATTCGGTACTTCTAATTAGAATAAACAAAGCATTTAAAAATTAACCTAGGTCCTTTTTTTTCCTACCAAGCTAATAATAGCCTTGAGAGGCTATTTCAGCGTAACCTTAGCTACTAGGTGAGCTCACGGGGCTCAAACCAGAGTGATGCTAACACTGACCCTAGCAAGAGTAGTGCTTCGCAGAATCTACCACCGGATCGGAAACGCGACCCACAGAGAAAATCCGGCGAGAAACTCAGTGGGCTGTGTCTGTGGGTTAATTCGCTCGTCGAGCCCTTCGTCGCAAGCGACGGGATCGACGAGGACGGTGACCGGTTTTTTTTTTTATGATTGAAGCATTACTGGTGGCCCGGAGGCCTTTCCAGTTTCACCAGGACAGGTGGGCGAGCAAAGGCTCAGCCAGGAGGGGTGGGATTTGCTAACAGCTACCCGAGCGCCTCCGAAGGAGACCTAACAACTCAAGAGTAGCTGCTTCGCGAATGAATCTACTACCGGATCGGAATCGCGACCCGCTGAGAAGATCCGGCGAGAAACTCAGCGAGCTGATTCATGGGTTAGGTTGCACGGCGAACTCTTTGTCGAGTTCGACGAGTACGGTTACCGAGGTCCCTAAGCCTGCTCCTAGTGTTAGAGCTGAAAGCGTCTAATGCAAAGGTTATTGGATCTGATGGATCCGTAAGGACATGTCTAGGGCGTCGACGGTGACTGGCTCCTGCATGATCAGGATTCGGGGAGTAGTCAGCGGCGGCTACGATAAGGCGATTATCATGACGCATAGCCTTATCGAAGTACCGTTCCGACGCTGACTTTGGTGACCGGTGCTTGTGGTACCTAAAAGCACCATTAATGGATCGGGAGGATCCGTAATCACGTGTTTTGGGCAGTAGGTCCTAGTACAAAGGCATATATTCGCACAACTACGAATACATCAGATATTTTGATATTTGGAAAACTGGGGTATCTTACATGTATTGACTCATTAAGAAGTTATGTACCAAAATTAGGTAAAAATTAAGTAATTAGTTTGTTTAATATCCGTCATACCCCGCTGTCCGCGTCAGCCGGATGAAGGACCCCGGGCGGTAGATCAGTGGCGATCATGTGGATCTGATGAGCCGACTGCTGAACTCTAGCAACCATGGCTTCTACGTCGTGCGTATCGCATTGCAAGTGGTTGCTGCGAAAAAAAAAAACAATACCACCACTTAATTTTTTGATTCAAAGTTAATATCTTATACGTTTTATAAAATTTCCTACTATTAATTTAAAAATTACTAATTTACTGGTGGTGGTGGGCCTCTTGTGAGTCCGCACGGGTAGGTACCACCACCCCGCCTATTTCTGCCGTGAAGCAATAATGCGTTTCGATTTAAAGGGTGGGGCAGCCGTTGTAACCATACTGAGACCTTAGAACTTATATCTCAAGGTGTGTGGCGCATTTACGTTGTAGATGTCTATGGGCTCCAGTAACCACTTAACACCAGGTGGGCTGTGAGCTCGTCCAACCATGTGGACAATAAAAAAAAAAGTCCTTTATCAGCATTTTTATGCGGCTATAAATTCTAGAGATTTCTCTGATTATTTCACCTTTTCAATACAAATTTGTAGTATGCAGTTAATTTCAGTCAAGGTCAGCTTACAAAATTTTTGTAAATCCTTACTCCTTAGTACATACAAAACAAATAATTAAATTATAATTCACAATATTCGAATCGAAGAAGCGGCCTAAATTCAATATACTTTTCCCTTTTATTTTTGTACTATAATTTGATACTTTACGGCAAAAGTCATTAGATAAAAAAACCTCTTTTCTTTAAGAAGGCTTTAATTTGTATTCGATAAGAACATGTCCTTGAAACCCGATTGCCGACGTCCTAGCTAGGCGGTGATTCCTCTGACCTTCCTCTTAATTTGTTTATTTTCCTTATATTATTTCCGACATTTCGTATACTTTTTAGTGGTCACGGACGAACAAGATGTTGTTCGTGTTTGATACTGTGATAGCCCAGTTAGCATTAGATTAAAATTTAAGAGTAGTACATAGTATAATATATATAGTATAACATCGTGTAATAAAAATCAAACCGAGCAAAATTATAATTTGCGTAATTACTGGTGGTAGGACCACTTGTGAGTCCGCGCGGATAGGTACCACCGCCCTGCCTATTTCTGCCGTGAAGCAGTAATGCGTTTCGGTTTGAAGGGTGGGGCAACCGTTGTGGCTATACTGAGACTTTAGAACTTGTATCTCAAGGTGGGTTGGTAGTTGTAGATGTCTATGGGCTCCACTAACCACTTAATGAGTGTGCTGTGAGCTCGTCCAACCATCTAAGCAATAAAAAAAAAAAGTTTGAATTATATCAACGAAAATGGAAGAAAATAATAGATTTGATGTTCTAGAGCTCTATCGTTACTGACTGGAATTAATCGGCTATTGTATGACCTTTCTATAGGATTCCTTGTAACTTACCCCATGTCGGGTGGTTCGTGTCGCTCCCGCAAGGACATCGACCTCATGGGTCTCGTCAAAGCTAACATCTTTTCTGTGCCGCTGGGACTTTTTTGTAGCAACGTAGTCGCGTAGATATCTGTACCTGTTGAAATTATGAACAAATGAAGTTTTAGAATCGGAGTAATTTCTTCTTTTTCTCCACCTTATCCCACTAGGTGGAGTCGGCACAGCTAATTTTTCTCTTCCATTCTCTTCTATCAGCCGTCATCTCAACACTCACTCCTCTCTCTCGCATATCGTCATTCACACACTCCATCCATGTCTTCTTCGGTCGACCTCTTCCCCCTCTACCTTGCACTACCATTTCCATACATCTCCTAGTCACATGCATCTTCTCTCTAGAATCGGAGTAATTGTTAAACGTAAAATTGTAGATAAGAGTAGTTTTTTTTAAATTGTGTACTGTAAAAACGGTGACTTAGAACTCACGTCTCAAGGTGAGGAGTGACTTCGATTTAATCGAGAAGCATAATAAAAGAGTGTGGCCTAATTTCCGCTATTTGAAGCAATTATTACCTCGCTAACTTTAATATTCTGCAATAATTTAATATTTTCGCTTAAGATTAAGTGATTACGCAATAAATCTGTCATTACTTAGTCTGTCTAGTCCAACCGTGACGCTTGCGACATTCCGAAACCACGTGGACTCATTGAATGCGAAAATCGCGGTAAGAAAATCGTTACATAATAATGAACGTCGCTTGCGACGAAGAACTCCACGAGTAAATTAACCCATAGACACAGCCCACTGAGTTTCTCGCCGGATCTTCTCGGTGAGTCGCGTTTCCGATCCAGTGGTAGATTCTGCGAAGCACTGCTCTTGTTAGAGCCAGTGTTAGGAGCACTCCGGTTTGAGCCGCGTGAGCTCACCTACACGTCAAGGAGAAGCTGAAATAGCCTCTCAAGGCTATCAGAATAGGTAGAAAAAAAAATCGTTACCATTGACTAATTGACCGTGATCGGGACCGTCTTGTAGCCGTCTCGCATTCGAGTCGGCAGCTTTGGCCATAGCCGTGATCGCGCTGAACTTCTTGAGCAGTTGCCGCCTTCGGAACGCGCGCTGGATGGTGACGGCAGCCCTGCGGGCGCGGAGACCTCCGTACCGTCTCTCTAAGATTTCCACTTGCTTATCGAGCAGATCCTGCGACATCTCATAGCGGCTGAAAGTTCAATGACACTTATTTAAAAAAGAAAGCCTCGACGTTACAAAGTAATACTTTAGAAGGTTCATTCTTGATTTTATTAATTGAGTCAAAACCAAACATTTACGAAACTGAACTGAACCTGAACTGAACTGAACTGAACTGAAACTGAAACTGAACTGAAACTGAACTGAAACTGAACTGAAACTGAACTGAAACTGAACTGAAACTGAACTGAAACTGAAACTGAACTGAAATGAAACTGAACTGAAACTGAAATTGAAACTTAACTGAAACTTAACTGAAACTTAACTGAAACTTAACTGAAACTTAACTGAAACTGAAACTGAAACTGAAACTGAAACTGAAACTGAACTGAAACTGAACTGAAACTGAAACTGAACTGAACTGAACTGAACTGAAACTGAAATGAAACTGAAACTGAACTGAAGTGTTCATAGCTCACTCAAAAAAAAGGTAAGAAAGTAAAGAAAATCACATGTGCATTTACATATTTGGAATTCTCGAATAGACCCATAAAGTATTACTATTTTTAGTGAAACGCAATCGAAAAGATGCGAGTTAAGAATGGTTAAGGTTTGTCTTGATAATGCAGCATTCTCTGGGTTCATAAATGTTCATGATAAAAGTAATTTGCGATGAAAACAGTGACGTCATAAATTAGTAGAAATGTGATCTATCTAAATACATAATATAATAAAAATAATGAAATAATTTTGAACATTATTTATTAAGACATACGTGTTTTATTCATTCGGTAATATTGTTAGGATTTATAGCAGCTTTCATCATAGTTTACAGGTTCTTAGTTTTACAAGATTATAGTTTTTTTTTCTACGTTCAAATAATTTGTGTAACTAAAATCACATTGACACACATATACAGCGAGAACAGATAATGAATAATGTAACAGTGATTGCAATTATTAATTAATTTCACAATAACATTTCTATGGTGTGTGTGCTTTGCTAGAATCCCACTGTCGAACTTTGTGCTTGAAATATCCTCCCAGATAAATAATATAATTTACTCTTGTGATGACGTGATAGCAATTCGAATCGATACTAGCTACAGAAAATCGATATGTAATAATGTTACTAATTGACAGAATTTGTATTAACTTTGTGAAAATTTAGCAGAATATAGATCTAATAATAAGTTTTTCCGTACATTAATTATTAAATTATCAAACGCGAATGTATTCAATTTATTTCAAATTAGATGAAAGTCACGAATTAAAAGTCATGCTGTTATTCCTATATAAATGCACTAATAGATTAAGGAATCAGTTCAAGTTTAACTAACTTTACTTAATAAAAGTTGAATAGTTTTAACAACATGCTTTATTGTTCTTGGTATTACATTACTTTCGTTATATAGTTAAAAGGCGGTTTTTTTTTTCATTCATAGGATTATTGTGTTAGAGTAAGGGAATTGTGTTGAGAATTATACATGATACTATTTTTACGAAAATATTGAATTGAGAAAACGATAAACATAGTAAACGAACAACCCTAGGCTGCTACTTCGTTTGTATGTAGATATTATTCGTAGATAACATTTTATCATCAACAGGTAGGTAGGTATGTTCTAATGACATTCAAGTTTGAAATAAATTTTGTTTCTATCTAAAAAGAATCTAAAAGAACAATCAAGTTCTCCAATCCCCTCAATTGCATTCAATCATATCATTGTCATTTTAATTACGAGCAGAAACATTGAACCTGTTAATTCAACCAGTTGCTCCTCATAGATAAAATAAATCGAAACAAAAACTTAAAAATTGAAAGGTACATCTTTGTACAGAAAAGTGAGTCACGTAAAAACGATAATGAATTATATTTTAATAACAAACAACAAATCTAAGATACTTTGAAACAAAAATAATAATTATGTATAATTCTCAACACGAGAAAATCAGTTATGAAAATCATCTAAATGCGAAAGGGTTAATATCTCTTCGGCACTTGACCTACCCTCTTGTTAGTTTACCCCTTTTCTGGGGTAAACTAGGGTCTTTTTGTGTTATCCCCGCCGTACCAATGATGGATACGTCTGTCCCACGCCTATAGAAAGAAAAACTATATACAATATTGTATACAACATATTGTTGAGACAAAGACACTCAAGGATCCTGGAAAGTGCTTAGTAATATTGTTGTGAAAGTTTATACGGGTACATTTCTTTACAAATAAAAATCAAACCTGCAAAATTATAATTAGCGTAATTGGTGGTAGAACGTCTTGTGAGTCCGCACGGGTAGCTACCACGATTCCATCTTTTTTTTGCCCACCTATTCGCTGGTCGAAGGAGCTATGTCAGCTACGCCCAGACGGCTGTGTCTCTAGGGGTCCACCCCCCCTATTTCTGCCGCAGTAATGCGTTTCGGTTTGAAGGGTGGGGCAGCCGTTTGACTGTTAAAACTGAGATCTTACAACTCATATCTCGAGGTGGGTGGCGGCATTTACGTTGTAGATGTCTATGGTATCTGGGAACCACTTAACACCGGTTCACTAACGACTTCCACAGTGAAGCAGAAGCATGCTATAATTAAAATCATATTCGCCAGATTTATATATTTGCGTATTTACTAGTAGGGTAGTAAAATGCATTGTAAGCCCGCAACAACGGCCTATTTTTGCGCGAAGCAGGTGTGCTTTTCAGCTTAAATGACGTGATAGTAAATACAATTGAAGCCTCTACCTCATAATATCTGTAGGTGGGAATTCGCGTTGTTGTGTCTATGGGCTCCGAAAACACCAATTGAGCTTTTCAGCTTTTTCCCAACCGTATAAATTGAGTTTAAGAAAATAAAATAATCAGGAAACAAAGTTAAGGAGTACAAGTGTCATACTTATACATAGGGCGTGAAGATATCTTTCCCGAAATCGAAATAGGATAAAAGTAATTGTTTAAAAAATTTTATTTTCATGAATTTACATTTCGAGAACCAGCATTGCAATGCGTATGCAGCTCGCAGCCGCTCCCCGCGTTCCGTCAGGTTCATTAACCCCGAACGTCCGGTGATTTTATAGATGTGTTACATTGCGTGCAAAAACTATTTATAAAAATATTTATAATTTGCTTCCGGGAATGGTTCATGCATTCTGATATAGTATAATTCTGATATAGTGAACAGTAAAAATATGTTAGACGATCTTCTAAGGGAATTAATTAACATTACGGGAATGGCATTCAATTTACGTCTCTTGGTTTAAGTAATATCTTTTTAAATTACTTTATTGTTCAGGATACGTATTCACGGATGGGTAACGAAAATCTTCACGTACACAATGGTGTATAAAATTATGAATGCAAACCTTTGTCTGATCCCCATTATCCAGATCCAGATTAATTGTACGAACACAAACAAAACAAGAATTAATACAGAGTTTATATATTACACAAAATCACAATGTCCAAAGATATATACCATTCCTAAATATTGCTCAAAGAACGGCACACTGTTGTTCATCTTAGACATCGAATATAAATCGTTCGTACCAAAGACATTGGAGAGTGAAATGGAAGAGACTTTATGAACAACTAGCGGCCCGCTCCGGCTCCGCTCGGGTCTTTAACAAAAATTTCAACGATATTTGACGTTGTTTTATATTTTTAAATAAAAGAACACTTATTGCGGCATTACTACATAGATAGACGTATGCTGTCGCGACACTTTTTGTAATTAATAATGTGTTCTACAAAGTTGTAGTACATTATTTTATTCTATCATCAATAGTTTACGCAGCGCACGCGATGTAAAGAATATTTTAGGTAACTTTTTTACACCTTGGGTTACATTACTGGAGTTTTAGCAAGGAACCCTAATTATTAAAAAAGAGTATAAAGGATATAGCCTAAGTCACTCGGGGATAGTATAGCTTCCAAACAGTGAAAGAATTTTTCAAATCGATTAAGTAGTTTCGGAGCCTATTCAATACAAACAAGCAAACAAACCTTTCCTCTTTATAATATTATATACTATAGTAACTGACTATGAAGAATTTTCAATCAATTTTGAACCTGTTCAACAAATCCATTACGGTGAACAAATTTAAATGAATAAAATTACTAATAGTTAATAATAATTAAAGCTGTAAGTACCTACATAACAGAATAAAAACGATAATCGCATTAAGGGTTGAGTGCAATGAGATTGCTGTAACGTAAAGACAGAATTGAGGATTTATATTACATCATATATTATCATCAGTCTATAGCAGCGGACTGCTCGACATAGGCACAATGAGAATTTATCGTACCTAAAAAACGACGAGTATTGTCCCTTTCTTAAGGACTTCACTTGTAGATTATAATTTGCAGGTAAGCCATACAAAGAAATCTAAGCTAAAATCGACACGTATTATGGGTACAGTAAGACGTACATAATATATAAACATCTACCTTTATCTGATACATTAGAATTACAACGTTGAAATCTCGAGAATTATGAGGTGGCTAAAAAAAATATCCAAATCCAGAACCACTCTAGATTTATACATTAGTATAGATGCATAATGGTTTTAGAATTTGAACACAAAATTATTTAAAGATGTTGTAAAAAAAATTTTACTAAATACTAATAAGGAACTATTTACTAAATTCTAAATATAGTAGCTAAAATTATTTTATTAATGTTGAGCAAATAATGTTTTTTTAGGCATAACCATCCGCAAACCAAATCCGCGATCCACTGAGAAAATCCGCCGAGAAACTCAGTGGGATGTGTTTGCACGGTTGTCTTATCTCTTTTATAGATATGGTATTAATGATAATTTGATTTGAATAAAAATTAATTTAACACGTTGAAAAGAGCTAAAACATATTTTTGGCATATGAAATCTTCTTATATTAACATAGATTTGCGTTACTATAGTTTGAACTGAGCTTAAGGTAAAGATCAATTTCACACCACGATACTTTTGATAATCTACGTTCATAAAATTAGTAGCTAAGCACGCTGTGTGCTCTATCATTATTTCAGCAGAACAAACAATACAACGTTTTCTTGTTGATTTTTTTAAGTCTTTATTCAATATTATTGTAATTCAGTTACAAATGTTGTTTCATATAGCAGGTCTTTCAAGCTTCTACCACTAAATGACTGGCAGTATCATAAAATCTAGAGTTAAATTGTATGTTTTCTATAATTTTTGTGAAAACCAGTTTTAAAAATACTATAAATACTACAAAATTGTTTTATGGTTTAATCTGTAGTGTCGTTGGGCAGGGTATTGTACGTAGAAAAAATCAATTAGCAACATCTTAACGTAACTGGAAACACCTTCGATTTTATTTGATTGTTTGCATTACACTGACCTGTTGGTATGAACGGCGAGGCCGAAGCCCTCCGGCGGCGCGGCAATGTAAAGCTGCGACGCCGGCTCCTGTGCCGTGCAAAGACCCGCGCCCGTCGACGCGTTGGACGCCGACGAACATGACGAGTTCGAATGATTTAGAGCTGGAAATAAACAATCGAACCGGATAAATAAAACAGAAACAAATATTCAAAAACAATTAATTTATCGCGTCAATGGATTTCCTCCTTGTGATTACGACGTCGATGTGCATACCACTGCTATTTTCCGTTATTTCACAGTAATTCACGGGGATCCTATGTCAAAACTTTAATAGTGAATGATTATTCGCTATATTATACTTAAATATATACGCAACTTCTAGAAAGCTTTAATTTTCCAAAACTGCATGATCGCCTTTGCCAATTGGAGACAAGAAGAAAAAATCACAAGGGCTTTTTTCTGTTCACTCTCCTCTGTTATTCTTCTACAAGATCAAGCATCTAACCATCATCATCAACGAAATAAGCATCAAGTTATTTTGTTAAGCCCCAGCGCATGCATACGTTGGTACATAAGAAATCATACTTCAGAACAGAAAAATCATTCGCATTTGACTTACTCTGAACCAGGTCACAAACGAAAAGCTTTTTACAATAGAACCAACATTAGTTATTTGATGTGGAAAAATATCATTATAAAATCGATATTATTATCTGTACCCGCATCCCGTAAAACACCCTACTTCAATTTCAAAAGTACCGTAGATGCAAAATGAAGTTCTATTTCAATCTTATATTTAAACAATTAGCCCACTGAGTTTCTCGCCGGATCTTCTCAGTGGGTCGCGTTTCCAATCCGGTGGTAGATTTTGCGAAGCACTGCTCTTGCTAGGGCCAATGTTAGCAACACTCCCGGTTCGAGCCCCCTGAGCTCACCTACACGTCAAGGAGAAGCTGAAATAGTCTCTCAAGGCTATCAGCATAGGTAGAAAAATAATAATAACAATATAGATATATGTGTTAGACTGTTCTATGTCTATCTATGTGACCATCCATCCATTTATGTACTTTAAAGAATGTAGCCTCAACTTCACCAACCTGGTAACGGTCGATGGACATCGGTGACGTATCTGTTGCCATCCATGTACCCTCGGTCGGGCTCAGTGTGGGCATGATGCGCGTGGATCGAGTGCTGATGAGTGTAGAAGCCGTCTGGTGGATGCAGCGGAACCCCGCCGCCTGGCTCCTCTTCGTCTACCTTCTGCGAAAAGCTGAGGACAAAATAAAAGTTATAGGTTAGTTCAATAATCAACATGGGCATTATTGGATCCATAATTAAAGATATCTAAAGTTTTGCGTCGGATATTTGTACACATATTTATATTATTGCTTGGGTGGACGATCTCACGTCCCACCTGTCATTAAATGGTTAGCGAACTGCATAGACATCAACCCACCTTGAAAAAAATCTTAGTTTTTATAGTATCTGTCCCACTCTTCAAACCGACACGCATTACTGCTTCACAGCAGAAATAGGCAGGGTGGTGGTACCTACCGATGCGGTATACAAGAGGCGCAGTATATGCCAATTGGCGATAGCAGTACACTGCTATAATGCGTAAAGAATGCTACTATTCTCCGGTGAATCGCTTAATCTCCTCTTACGAGGAGTTGAAGCAGTGTTATTCTAGCCCAACAAACACACAGCCAAAACGTCGTGGTATAACAAATGAAAATAGTGTTGGTCTCATATAGAAATTCAAAGTTTCATGCCGTATGACAAGAGGTTACATCCGCCAGTCGACAACCTGTGTGCATCAGACGGGCCGCTAGTACCTTTACCAATTTACAGTAATAAAATCACATTTATCCCTTTGTGGCAAATTTGAATGGAAGCCAGTGTTTCACGATTAAAATAATACATTTTGTAATTGGAACACTAAAGTGATTCCTCTTATCGTTCATTACATATTCAGTATTTCAAGTTTCACAAGATTTCCCCGTATCTAAAACAAATGTTTAAAGTAAAGGAGGATATCTGGGACGCTTTCGTAAGCTTCGGTAAATAACATTACAGCATTTATCTCTTTTACGCTTTCCTTATACGAACGAGTGGGAGAGAGACACACATCAAGACTATTACAACTGCAATTAATGTCATATACCTGTTTTACTCAAGTAAACGATTTATTTGCGTCTTTACGGAAAACGCAAATATCGCGAAATCGCGAATTTGAATCCAGCGAAAATAAATAAAAATATTTAGTAAAAAAAAAAAAAAAACAGTTAGTATGTATATTAAAAAGGTTAATCTAAATTCAGATGAATGTGTTTTCAATTCACATAAACAAAACTAAATTATTTAAATTTATGTTTTTGTGGCAATCGCCCGCGTTGAGAATAATGCCTCAATTAAATATATAGTCTAGTCAACAAGTTCAAAAAGCTCCTAAAAATATGTACGATAGCTCATTGGATGCGGAATGATGTCTACAAAAATGTTTTTTAAGGGCTTATTAGCACATAAAAAATTGCGATTGTTATAAACAAAATAAGATTTAAAAAAAAAGGAATTTGGTTTTTGCTTAATAATTTCTAAAATAATGATATTTAAGGAATTTTGAATAAAGATCCTGAAAGAGAAAGAGAGGATCGATTTTGAATTTATTTTAAAGATAAATAAATCCTTTATAAAAATGACCTGAGTGTCCTTTACCGTATCTCTTATAGTTTAAAAGTTATAACAATTTATAACTTGACATTCCTTAAATATCATTATTTTAGAAATTATTAAGGAAAAACCAAATTCCTTTTTTTTAAAATCTTATTTTGTTTATAACAATCGCAATTTTTTATGTGCTAACAAGCCCTTAAAAAACATTTTTGTAGACATCATTCCGCATCCAATGAGCTATCGTACATATTTTTAGGAGCTTTATGTCTATTTAACACGTTTTTGAACTTGTTGACTAGACTAATATTACAATTTCGGTGTTATCTGAGAACAACGAATACTGAAGGTTTTGAACTAGAAAGAAAACCTAAGGTCGAAACACATTTTAGGATTGCATTGTCGTGTCAGATAACTATACCATACATAATACTATACCACATAACCAGACCATAACCACTGCCGGAGTCACGATCGTTCGGAGAAAGTAAGCAAAGACAACGATTCTCCATGGTTAACGATCAAAGATGTTATCCAGCCATAACTAAATAATTTATGTGGAATTTTTTGGTTGAAAAACGAAAGTGTGAGAAGTTCTCAAACTTTGGAATTTTGTACATAAAGACCCTAGAGGGATTTATCTGTTGGGCTTGTTGCTTGTTGTAAGCAGCTTCTTCGCATGAGCATCACATATTTTTACTATTACCAAATGCTGCCGTGAAACAGTAATAATGCGTTTCGGTTTGAAAGGTGGGGCAGCCGTTGTAACTATACTGAGATCTTAGAACTTATATCTCAAGGTGGGTGGCGCATTTACGTTGTAGATGTCTACGGGCTCCAGTAATCACTTAACACCGGGTGGGCTGTGACCTCGTCGACGTATCTAAGTAAATAAAAAAATAAAAATTCAAAGCACTCTAGCACTGGTCGTGGAGCGTGAGCTTACACATTTAAATCACCGAAATACAAATTCAAAATCTTATTTTAACCCCTGAAAAACGGTGTTTAAACGCAAAAATTTCAAAATGTTCAACCACAATCTCAAAGTACAGTCGAAGTTAGGTACGTAACTTTGTTTCTCCTAATAGAGGAAATAGTTAAGAGTACAGTTCCCATAAGGCTATTAGTCGAACAGCATACTTTCTCGGTACAAACTCCGAGGAACTTGGGATGCAACATTTTAAGGTAGACTTAATAGAAATTTAGATGTAATGTTTTTTTTTTTTTTTAATAATAATAAATATTTACTAACAATCACGCCACGTTAACTGGTCCCGTGGTAAGCTCGTACAGAACTTGTGTTACAGGTACCAGATAACGGAAATAAATGTAATATTTTTATTATACACATACACATATTTAATATACATCCATAACCCTGGAAAAGACATTTTATATTTATCATACAAATATCTTCCCTTGGCGGGATTCGAACCCGCAACCCCCTTGTGTAGTGACCATGTCACTTACCACTACACCAGACGGCCGTTTTGCTTTAGTTTGCTTTTGTCGCTAATTGCTTTAGTTTTAAATGCAATATGAATGACGTCGCCTACTGCGGTTGTCTTTCATATTTCATAGTACGTTAAACTAATGGGTGCATTATTTCACTTTCAACAATATTCGAAAACTTTACGAGTATAGTTAAATATTACGAAAATATTGTGTTCAATCTTAACGGAATAGAAGATTTTACTTTAAGATTGTTTTCGTTTTCTTTTGGATTGTTTTAAAGATGCAGTTCACCAAAAGATAAAGACATAAAATAATACAATATCATAATAATACTGCAAGAACTCAAAGTTAAACGATATTTGATTCTGAAGTACGTGCGCGATTTTTCAACTATTCTGAATGAGCTGTACAGAAATTTAATTTCAAAATTCATGAAAGCGGGTCGATCTCTGTGGAATATTCAGAATGTGCAATGCTGTATTGTTTTATCGTGTGTTGATTACGCTTGTATGCATTGTGACGATAATTACTGTACATAATTTACCATTGTTTTGAAAAAAAACTGATAATCGACATATTATTATGAAATGATGTAATCGTTTGAAAGTATAGAGATAAGAAAGAACACTTAAATACGTTTAAAACCCAAAAAATATACGTACAGGTAGGGAATGGTTGAGAAGATTCTAGAATAGGAATAAAACATGGATATGGCATGTAGGAAGATGTCATTTATTAATTTTGTGAGTGGGTGTACACTTCATAGCTTACACACTTCATAGCTTCTAGACAGACGACTACGAATGGCATTGTATTTTGTCCATTTTTTTATTAACAATTAAAGCCTTTGACGAATTATTTATTTAAATTCTAGAAATTCTTAAAGACACAGAAGATCAACCTAATTTTGTAGAGAAAATGAAACCTAAAATCGAAGAAGGTAATTAATCGCAAAATACATCCGACGTTAGTTCATGGCAGTATTTATCCGTAAGCTATGAAATAAAGATGAAATTAAAACAATGGTTTTAATTTAAATATTTTTAAAAAGTCTTATGACCCTTCTTTATAAAAGCGTACTGGATCTTTTTAATAACATTTACAATTCGTAAAGTACTCAGAAAATGGTAGAAAACAATCGCCCAAACCTTGCGACAAACTTTGCGACAATACGCAGCAGTGGAAACAATATTAACTTTGATTAATTACGAATAATACTAATGATTGTACAGTCATGAAGTTTCGAATCAAATAAACCGACTCAGATCTCGTTAGCTTAAATGTAAACTCAAATAGAGCCTCAAATATCCAAACTGAAAACCTCTTTGAATGTTTCAAAGCGTATTTATTAACAAACACGGTAAAGTTTGTACAAAGGCCAATAAGAAGTTATACCCGACTTGGGAATACGAGAAAGTCACGAAAAGATCTCAGACACATTTGCCCGTAACAATATCCTGCTTGAATTATACACGGAGTCATGGGAAATCAACGGTCCTGTATTTAGGCCATTTGTTTAGCAAGTTAGTTTTCAAGAATTTATGTAGATTGGATGAAATTTATTTCCAATAAAGTATTAATGCTAATTAGTAAATGCGTTAGCTATAGGATCGCCAACTGGAATTTACTTTTGTAATATTGATTTTTAGCGTCCAATAAAATTGACCTTTCATATTAAAACGCGTTTTAAATTTTTATTTTTTTTAATTCGAACATTTTTTGTAATTCAAATTAGAGATCTCCTTTTAAAACTTTGAATTATAAGCTGGTCCAATAACACAAATTAACAGGGATGACAAACAAAGTAATCTATTTTAATTTTCAACAGGTATTTTAGATGTCAGAATTGTATCATCTATAAATTTAAGGTGCCCAATTCATATCGAGGCTGAACAACCATTAGTTTTTTTATTCAACGGGCAATTCTCGCTGATAAAGCTTCCCAATTAGCGAGATAGGTTGTTGGAGAGGAGCCAAAACAGCGAAGTGCGGGACGATCTGCTGAATGATAAAACGTTCATTGTTATTTTTAATGGTTTGTTTAAATGATACCTCTAACTAGTGATTATGTCGGAAAAGGTTTTGCGGCAAAGTAGTACTGTGTATTTCATCCCTCGAATTATTTCTACTAGAAATTCGCCAGAT